GGGGAAAAATCACAGCAAGCCGGACAGCTATCGACCGATCACCCTTCTCTCCACCCTTTCGAAAGTGTTCGAAAAACTGATACTTCCGAAAATAATACCATACATCGAACCCCGCTCCGAACAATACGGATTCCGCGCCGGCCACTCAACTACGCTTCAGCTGACCCGTGTACTACACCACCTAGCGACGTGCGTAAACAAGCGTGAGTACATCGCAACCGTTTTCCTAGACGTAGAGAAAGCCTTCGACAGAGTCTGGCACGAAGGCCTACTCTATAAACTATCACAGACTCCACTACCGCAACGTCTACTACGAATAGTCGCCTCCTTTCTCGAAAACCGCCGCATCCACGTGACGGTAGAGGGCACGCTCTCGACCTCACGCCCGGCCCAAGCAGGAGTACCGCAGGGCAGCTGCCTGTCGCCGCACCTCTACACAGCGTATACGAACGACGTCCCAACAACAGGTGATGTTAAACTCGCGTTATACGCTGACGATACCGCCCTCATCTGCTCATCCATACGCCCACGCCATGCCGCCGAAAAACTGCAGCCCACCCTCGACGCGCTCGCACCATGGCTGGAAAAATGGCGCATCCGCGTAAACGTCGCCAAAACGCAGGCGATGCTCGTCGGATCGCAACGCTCAAATCCGCCCCCGCTCACCATATTAGGCAGGCCGGTCCCATGGGTACAAACAGCAAAGTACCTTGGTATCACTATAGACCGCCGCCTAAACATGCGACACCACGTAGCCGAAACAATAAAGAAAACCAAGATGGCCCGAGCGCGACTGCGCCCCATCCTACGAAGCCGACTCCCATTACGTACAAAAGTTTGTATATATAAAATGTACATCCGCCCCCTACTCACTTACGCAGCGCCCGCATGGTACGCGCTGGTTGCAGAGACGCAGCGGAAACGCCTCCGCGCGCAACAAAACCTCTCCCTGCGCGTCATTACCAATGCGGGCCTATTCACCGAGACTTAAAAGTCGAAACCCTAGACGACTTCATAACAAAATTAGCAACATCAATGTACGGTCGAGCGGAGCACTCGGCGCACGAACACATCCGAGAGATTGCTCCCGCGCACGATCGCTCCCGTACAAGAAGAGATAGAGCCCTACCAAGAGAGCTCGTCCCAGAGGAAGACCAACCCGCAAGAAGTAATAGATAACAACGGCCCCGCCCGCTTCACTGCGGGCGGGCCAACTCCACATTACGCCACATTACACATAAGATATTATAACAAAAACACAAAAACACACATAATAATGTAACCCATTCACGAAGCACTCCAAAGAAAGTAATAAAAAAAAATATATAATAATTAAAAAAAAAAAAAAAAAAAAAAAATATAAAAACTTTCTTTGGACACAACTACGATCTCCCTTACCCTACATGACGACCCTGCCCCCTCCCACCACCAAGTCCACCGCCTGCTCGCTGGTCGCTCACCGGGCCTCCCACACGGGTCTCACCCGGGGGGCTTGACCGCGCTGAGGGCGGTGGTGAAGCTGTGGATAAAGAGGGGACGGACACAAACGACCGCTCCGTAGTAACGGAGTGCGCACCCGCAGCATCCGAAAAGGATTCATCCTACAACGGACTCCCCGCACGCCGCGGCGCCTTCGGCGCCGGCGACGAGCGAGACGACGAAGAGTAGTTAGTTTGCGAGATTTTTAGGATTCTTTAAGTAACCCGGATTCATTGCTCTTGAGTGTACCCGTAATTATTAGGTATCGGTACATGCCCATTATATTGTAATGAGTAAATATAATTTGTTCATTAATGTAAGTAAATCACTCGATTGACGTCGATAAATTTTACATTAGCGCAATCGCTCTGAGCGTAAATGATAAACTGTTGCGTTCTGACAATAATCTTATATTTTGATTGTTTATAAAAAATATATAAATATTTGGTCGAATCTTTTACCACGTACAACAAAAATGTGTCAAGTCCTTCATGACTAGGTACGTCTTAAAGACAACACATGTGTTAAAATTCAACTCTCTAGATCAAAAATAAATATTTTATACTACTTAAATGGTTTCGAAAAATTAATAATAGCTTAATAAAAGAAAAAAATGAAAATGTGCGGTATGTTTAAAGACATTATTAAACTAATCACTTTAAATGAAACATTAATAAATTAAAAAGCTTCGCAAACAAAAATAAGCTTTATTATAGTTCAATTTATTAATTTAAACATCAGAAAAAACTACGATAAAATAATTAGCTAGATCTGAAGCCTGTATTAATAAACAACTTAGGCATCTACCAAACGTTTAATGCTTAACTATACAGGTATTGTAAAATACTGGGAAATTTTAAATATTCTTTAATTAAATTGTTTCGAAAAATTTATAACAGCTTTATAAGCTAAAACAGCTCAGGATCGAACCACCGATCAGTTGGCGTCGACCCCAAAAGCGTTACTGTTCGGCCATCCGTCTCTTATAGTAAATGATAAAATTGCGGATACCTATCTTGTGTCGAATACTCTACTACCGTTTCATCGAATCTCAAATCACATCAGTGCTAAAGAAGTAAAAACCCAAATTTTCATCACGTGGATATTTTAAAGTTGATTCAAGTGTCTAGTAAGTACCTACCTATCCTCTTTTCACTTGCACCATACGGAATTGTTTATATTATTGTAGGTAAAGCGTGTTGTGTATTTTGAATACAACGTCTGGCCTAGGGGCGAGGCCGCTCGCTTCCGATAAATAAAGTCCGTAATCCATATTTCCAACGAAGATAGCATTTGAATCGATATGTTTACTGTGGCACGTGAAAGAAGTAAAAGAGATGGGCCACGTGTTAGGGGGCGTCCATAAATTACGTGAGATGTTTAAGGGGGGGGGAGGGGGTCGAGTCAAATCTCATCTAATCTTATGTTGGAGACATTAGGCGGTGCATAAGGCATAGGGGAATGGAGCAGTGCACGCATCACTCATATATATGTATATATTGTCGCCTGTGATGCTCGTAGCGTTTCAGTCTTCGCATGCTCGTCGGGAAGAGCTGCGTAGGCATCTCATACACACACACACATTTAAAATGCTATGTTATTAAGCAAAAAATAATCCTTATGATTAACCCTTTCCATGGTTATTATAAAATATGTTGTTTTTTCTTTTCGAAATTTCACGAGTTTGATTCCCAGTTGTAGCAGGCCATTTTTAAAAAATCTTGTAATGCAGTTCTAGTTATTATTAAAAATAAAATTATGTCTTCTTTCAGAAAAATATCCTATCTTCATTATTTAATATACTTTCCCTCCGTGTGAGGTAGCCGTGGGACGGCCTGTATATAAATAAATAAATAATAAATATTTCCAACATTCACACCAATTAGCCTAGCCCCAAAGTAAGAACTATAAGACTTGTGTTATGGGATACTAGGGTACGGATAGAATACATATATAAGTATTTATATAGAAATACATATTTAACATCCATGACTGGAGTACAAATACTCGTATTCATCACACAAACATCTGCCCCCCACCGGGATTCGAACCCGGGACCTCTAGAGTTGGCGACACCTCGAAACCAGGCGTACAAATCACTTGGCCACGGAGGTCGTCATATATGTCAATCATTCGTGTGCCAAGTTTATCAATATACGATTAGCAATTCCTCACTGACCAAGCTGAATTACAGTATGAACATCCAAACTTTTCCATTATTAGCACAAGTACTTAACCAAACCAGAGCTCGAATCAGCTGCGTAAGCGACCATTCTCGATAATATTTACGGAAATTGGAAAAGTGTCATAAAATGTATTCGCAAGCAATGGTGGCAAAAAAGGATGGGGTTCTCCTAATTGTATATTATTATGGATGTTTGATACAAATTGCAAACATATTGAAAAAACGAGCGAGCCTTACAGTAGTCGCGTATGATGTGTAACATTTGAAATCTCACCTTATATTAGTAAAAAAAGAAATAAAACCTACTGCAAATGGAATAAGCCATTTGAACATTATGTTCTAGAATCAAATCAAATAGCGCGTGTTTTCGCGACTTCCTGTTACACACTTCCGTCCCATTTCACGAAATCACTCCCACAAATTGCAGGAAAGCGAGAGGAAAGATGTTACACATCAACAATGGTGTCGATTCTGACACGAATCTCTCTTAACCTAAAATTAAATTTGACAACAGTGTATCCTTGTCATTCCATATACTATGATATGATATGATATGAAAAGGAGAGACTTATGTTAAATTGAGTTTTAAGTTTAGAGAATCATGCCAAAATCGATACTAATACTTTTATAATTAGTGCATTAAACGAATTTTATTATGCTCTACATGCCCAACCAACCGACTTCCGTTTCCTTCTAGAATTTAGAGTATAATGTAAGGGTGCTTAATAAATGAGTGTCCACATAATAGTTGATAATTAACAATACCTGCAACACCAGAGACGTCACATAATGCGCGTTGTTTACCCAATCCCCGTGGAGCACTAAAATCTTTTCTCATTAACTGAAACGACGCTACAGAAAGGAACTTCGTGTTATTTGACTGTGTTTTATAAACTGTAAAGTACGGTCTGTAAGCATGATCTCTATCTGTGTCTAGATAGATAAATCAGTGGAAATAAACAACAACTTTGAAATGACTGTTCTATATTAATCAACCATATCGTTTACTGTTGTCATCTTATATCCATCATTGTTCCTTGACTCAAATCCACGCAATCCGATGCCTTTGATTTCACGGCTTAGCCATCCATAACCAACATCTTAAAGCAACACTGACTTTACTGTATCATGTACATGTAGGTATATCTACGCATGAGTTGGCTACTACTTTACAATTACAATAAACTTATTCAAATCCTGATTGATCTCACATTTGCCAATCATCCAATGATCTAACAGCTTGCAGATGATGTATATGCAAGCTACGCAGAGATCGACCAACGAGGCGACATAAAGATTAACGTTTAGATGCGCGCGCGCCGCTCAGTCAGCCGTCGTGAGAGCACAACTCCGCACACTCGCACCGCTACACGCAAACGCCAAACCGACCTTCCGACACCATTTTTAGAGTTCAAATTCCCCGTAAAGTTCTATTAATAGACATCACAATGTAAACAGTTCTGAAGGATAGCGAAATTGACTTGCAAAGTGCCGTAAAAATGTGTAGTTAGTGTAAAATAAAATTGAAATTTCTCTTTATTAAATTGTGAAGACCTTGGTGAAAACTGTTTGTAAACAAACAAAATTCTTAGCTGCGAAACGTGACAAAGGAATACTGGCGGTTTTCGTGAAATATAAAAAATAAAAAGGAAAAACAATACACGATCGCTGTGAAAATTCAAAATGGCGGATACAACTCCAGAAATCACCCCTGCACCAATGGATACGCCGGAAGACACACCATCGCCGTCTCCAGGCCCAGAGAGTATGACCAAGTTCAATTGGCTGAAACATTCCAAGCGCAACAATCCGTTCGTAAAACCCAGGCCTTCCTTGACCAGGGAAAGCTCTTCAGCAGAGCTGGTCTCGAGGCAGAACTCCAGTAGCGATTTCTTCCAGAATTCTAGGATGAATCTTTTCGAAACAAATCCTAAGCCTGAAGTGCAGAATCAGGGATTCCTAAAGGTTAGTTGGTCGTTACAAACTTTTCTCTTGTGGTCTGGGGGAGTGACAGAAAAATATACATATTACGGACGATTTAAGGTCAGGAATAATGTTCTAAAGGGGAGAAAACGGTTTATCGCGTTTTTTGGGAAAACTACAACTTCGATCGAAAAAAATTCAATTGCAATTTTTTTTCAATAGTTGGTAATCAAAAGATCTACAACTTCTGTATTTAAAATAAAAAAAAAACGGTGAAGGTTATGTGGATAAATGCAAAAGTTGTAGATCTTTTGATTACCTACAATATTGCGATTGAAATTTTTTCAATAGAAGTTGTAGTTTTCCCGAAAATCGCGATAAATCTCCCCCCCCCCCCTTTAAAAGGTCACCCCTCCACCCTTCCCGATCTCAAAAAATCCGTAATGTATTTTACATCTTTATTTAATGTGTTCTCTTCCTTGTGGTATGGCTTCCATTCTGTTGCGATTTTTTTTCACTTTTTTCACGTTTTTGAAAAGCATGGCCCTTGTTCTATAAGTACTGTGAATTTATACAAAGTAATATATGTTCTACCAGTTACCTAGGTATATTTATATATTGGAAAGTGATTTCATGAGTTATCTCATATTGAAGTCATTTTTCAATTTTTATAATACAGGGAGAAAAAAACAGTACTTCGCTGAGTTTCTTGCCGGTTCTTCTCAGTACAAGGTCTCCCGCCGTAGATTTGCGAACCTATGGCCTAGACAATAAACGATATTGAATTTGAATTCATTTTTCAGCATCGTGTTAGTTAAACATTAAAATCTTTCATGAATCTAAAAGAGACAATGATATAAATTCCCAGATCGATCACACGTGGACAAGATAATGGATCAATTTCGTAGTTCCGGATTCATACTTTGTATTTTACTACGTGTGTAGTTAGGGTTGCCAACCCTTCTATACATATAATATAATATCCTACTATATCAGGGGATCAAATGCTATATTTCTAAAAAAAATATATGGTAGGCGAAACTACCAGTAAAAGCGTTCTTAGAAATAAAAAAAAAAAATATTAAGGCATTACAGAGCAAGGATATATTCATTTTAAAAATAAAGTAGATAATTTAACCACATACTACGTTTTTTCCACCTTTTTGTCATTTACTATATTTTTAGAGGTAGCAGCTTCGAAAAATGCTATATTTGATATAATAAAAGTTGGTAACCCTATGTGTAGTGGACAATCTTAGGTCTAGATACATGTAATGTTGAATGCAGTGGCGGCGGGGCAAGACCTAAATTTGATGTGATCAAGACAGATTTCGCGAGGCCCTGTTCTGTGGCGACCTGAAGACGGATTTTATAAAATAATAAAAAATAGAAATTCGCTTTTCAGTAATGCATAAAAATTTTTGAGGCGCGAGGCCCCTTGTACCGCGAACCCGTAGGCGGTGGCCCATGTCGCCCACGCCTTACGCCGCCTCTGGTTGAATATTTATTCAATTTGTTCATATGAAAATTATATTTTTGTATATTTTATGGTTTTAAAAGTAATACAACACTTTTAAATCGACTGCATTGCTCTTCTCGAGTGTAGCAAATAGAGAAGATTGATAAAATTAAATAAAAAATAGAAGCAAAGAAATGGCACAATTACACTAGCAATTAGACGACATACAGTAAGATATTGAATTATTTTAGGGGTAAGTTTGTTTTCTAGGTTAGGAAGACTTAATAATAATCACACTAATATTATAAAGGCGAAACTTTGTGAGTGTGTATGTTTGTTACTACTTCAAGCTAAACGGCTGGAGCGTTTTTAATAAAATTTGGTATGGAGTTAACTGACACCCTGGAGAAACACATAGGCTACGTTTTACTGCGGGAAAATATCCTTAATAAACCGCGGGTAACAGCTAGTTAATAATAATAATAATTAAGACGTTTATTATTACAGACCCACATTTACATTGACATACATAGTATTCAATACAATTATTGTCATTTTTTTATGTAGCAAAAGGCGCAAGCTCGGCATAAGCCACTATGGTTTAGATTAGAACCTTGTAGCGCTGCTGTTCTTCCGCGAGACTTAATAATAATAAAGCCTTTTATTTCTTGCCAATTGTGTTACAAGATTTAACAAATTATAAAATATTTATTATAAAATGAATTTGACAACAACCCCTCTCAGGTGAAGGCCTCCTCCTAAGATTGCCATGCATTTCTGTTTCTTGCTACTATAACCCAGTCTCGACCAGTTAAACGCGTGATATCGCCTGTCCTTCGTGTTTGCGGCCTGCCCCTTTTTCTAAAGCCAGCCGATTTACAATGTGGCTTGTATAGTCCATCTGTCATCGGTCATTCGGGCTACATGGCCCGCCTGATTTAGGGCATCTAATAACATTCGTCTGCTCTCGGATTATTTTGTGTGGAATTTTCTTTATTTTCATGATACTCCTCCCCATATTTATTTGACGTGTTTTTATCTTCTTTTTGATCTTAAGAGTGAATTTCCAGGTTTGACATGCATACGTTAAGAAAGGTAAAAGATATGAATTCATTATTTTTCTTTTTAGTTCATCAGTACTTCTTTATAACTCCAAAATTTATTCCAGGTTTTTTGACCTCTTCTGTCATTTTCTTGTTGATTGTTGAATGAAATTTGTTTTCCCAAGTACACATACTGTTTTCCCAAGTACACATACTCTAGTTAAACTATAGGTTTATGGGTGCTGTTCGTCATTACTTTCGTTTTATTTAGATTTATTTCTAAGTCAATTTCCTTGCTAGCCTTATGTAGAGTAGCTATCATGTATTGTAAGTCTTTATTACTTTCAATTAAGAGTGCAATGTCATCAGCGAATCTTAAATGTGGAAGATATTTTCCTTTGATAGTAATTCCTAGATTTTTCCAGTTTAGTTTGCTCATGACGGGCTCTAGCACTGCTATGAAAAGGCGAGGTGAGGGTGGGTCGCCCTGCGCCGCTTTCTATTTTTATTGGTGGACCCAAGTCTTCCAGTTGCACTCTATGGCACTTCTCATAAAGATGTTGAAGTATATTTATATATCTTTGGTTAACTTTTTGGGTAAGTAGAGTTTGCCAGATCGCCGAGTGCGATATCGATATGATCGTATCAAATGCTTTTTGGGAGTCAATAAAGGCAATGTAGAGTGGCCTTTGTAGTTCTTGATACTTCTCTATAACTTGATCCAGTGTGTGTATATGATCTGTGGTGCTGTAACCTTTCCTGAAACCTGCCTGTTCCCTATTGGTTGTTTGCTATCAAGTACTTTGTCAATTCTTTTTTCTATTATTACTAGCATGATTGCAAGCTAGCAATATACAAACCTAAAACAAAGGGCCAAGCACGAACTTTGACAGATCCGTAAAGGTATCGTCATCGTGAAATTTTGTATTGAAGGAGCCAAATTGTATTACGTCCGGTAGGGGCTCTGCTTAATTTGCATAGAAGTTTTGACGATACGATACGATTACGGAACTTTCAAAGTTCTTGCTTGGGCCTCAGAAGTCAAGATTATACTGTAGTGCTATTCCGTAAGAACAAACTCAGTTTTAACCGCGGAATCGGCAGTGTGATTTTAAATTAGAATACCGATTTTCAAATAAATTTAAAATCACACCACAGCGGATTCCGCGGGGAAGAGTGAGTTGATTCTTAGGTGGTTCTTACTTAATAGCACTGCCGGTATGGCAAACAATCTGTTAAGTGAACAAACAGTACCTATATGAAGGAATCGATCGTAATCATTCAACTGAATGAATGAAATGAATACGTTGTGACATTATCTAACCACGCTTGGAACTGAACCAAGACCTTTTGCCAAGGGCAGACGTTACGTGCAGTAAAATTAGTTGATACAACACGTGTTTAAGAGTAAAAGATTAAACTAAATCAGTTTATTTATCAAGACTGATGAACGTTTATGTATCATATTATATACACAGTGAATTTTGAGTTACCTGAGAAACTTTAATAGTTAATACAGACAACGATTTTTTTTTTCAAATAATGTCTCGACGTTACCACACACTAATTGTGCATTATCAAAATTAATCATTTTTTTATTGTTATAAATTGATTCTAATTAAACTACTTTTTGGAATCAAGTATTTTTATTAATAATTATAAAACTAGATGTTTAAATCTAAAGAAAATTTTACCAAAAACTTTTCTGTAGAACGCGGACCAGAGTTTTCTAGTAAACTTTTCTTTGGATTTAGATATAAATCTTTTTTTTTGTATAGGGGTGTGGTAGTACGTTTTTTATTCGATTTTTAAGTTTCTCTGATAACTCAAAGTTCATTATTGTTGATTGATAGAAGACCTAAATGCACAGTTATATCCTCAGAACACAATTTATATCACAAGAGTCCTATAAAAGTGTTTATATACACCCATGCTTTAAAACCGCTATTAAAGATTCAGAATAGTTACCTTATCAGTAACATTAAAACATCCATTGTTATAATAATAAAAAAAAAAGTTGTGGTAAATATTATTTTTAATCCCACACCGTGACACGAGAATATTATAGCATCCCCCTAAATGTTAACATTAATTAATTACCCTTAATATTTTTTTTGGACATATTTTTTTTATGATAGATCATACAAAAATACATACAACCTTAAACTTTCACCCTTCTACCACCAACCACAATTTTTTTATGGCAGTACGAAGTTCGCAGTGACAGCTAGTCTTGATGTAAAATTGTTCGATGTACCATTCCTATAGTGTAATAATCAAATATACGGTGATTCACACTTTTGATAGCTGTATAATTTGGGGGGCCGTTCTCTAACAATAAATTAAAACGCATTTTCAGTTTTATCGAAAGTTTAAATACCTAAATTACTTAATATTTTCATTGAATACGTACATTGTACGAGGTTATCGAGGAAAGTAAATAAATACGTTGATTAGGACATTCTATTCTTAGTATTACTTATACACCGAGTACATTATTATAACAGGCAAGTATTATTTCTGGTCAATTCGGAGAACAT